CCAAATTAGGCATTATTGTGTTCTTTCTGCTTTTTTCTGCTTTGTAGCTACCTTTTTAGAAAAATTTCAGCTAATTTCAGCTGTTTTCAGATAAATTCAAGATTTTCATGGTGATTTCTGCTACTTTCATCCCAATTAATTTATTTCTGTTAATTTTAGCTTGTTATGCTTCTTTTAAGTTAAAAAAAGAAGCTCCTTTCAGCATTTTTCTGCTAGTTTCAGCTTTTTCTGCTATTTCAGCTACTATTTAGTTTATGCAAATTTTAGCTTTTTCAGCTAATTCCACGTTTTAGCTCATCTACGTTCTTTCCACTTCCTTCTTGCAGGTTAAGCTTCTTTTTGCTTTTTCAGCTACTTTATAGCTGTTCTTTTGCTAATTTTAGCTTTTTTTGCTGATTTCTTGATTTTTGTGCTCATTTCTGCTTATGTAAACCTAATTAAGCAAATATGTGTTATTTCTGCTTTCTTCTGTTAATTTAGACTTGTTCTTCCATTTCAGCTACATTACAGCATGTTTTAACTGATTTCTCCTGTTTTTCAGCAAGTTCTTCTGCAATATGCATTCATATTGCATTTTCTCAGGAAAAGCAATTTCTCTAGTTTTAAAACTGATCCTGTTTCATCTGACAGGTTTGAGCTGATGAAGGTCTTGATAACAAACATTTGCATTTTTATATGATCTGATTTTGTTCTGCACAAGACAGAAATGAACTTCTTCTTTCGGCTTTTCCCTCTTCAGGGGTCACCACTGCGAGTCATCTTCCTCCACCTCACTCTGTCCTCTGCATCCTCTGTCCTCACTCCAACTACCTTCATGTCCTCTCTAACTGCGTCCATATATCTCCTCTTTGGCCTTCCTCTTCGTCTTTTTCCTGGCAGCTGCATTTCTAACATCCTTCTACCAATATACCCACTGTCCCTCCTCTGGACATGTCCAAACCATCTCAGTCTGGCCTCTCTAACTTTATCTCCCAGTTGTTCAACCTGTGCTGTACCTCTGATAATCTCATTTTTAATCTTATCCAGCCTTGTCTAGGGCTGAGTACCGAACCGAGGTTCTTTTATGGCACCGACCGAACTGCACCGGTCTGTGTATGTACTGAAACGTCCCTCTTCTTTCGATGTCAAGTTTCAGTATTGGCTGTAACGTGTCACGTGATTTCAGCATGCAGGCAGGCAAAATACCAGACATATGACAGACTACACCCAGAGCTGTATAGAGCTGCCGTACCTATTCTATGTATACTGTAATGTATGTCTATGGTGTTGGTGACGCCCACAGACGGGTTCACGTGTGCAGCGCGTGTTGTCGAATGGCTTTGACAACACGCGCTACAGAAAGTTGCTCCGTGTTTTTCTGCGAGGAGAGAGAAGTTCAGTAGCCCCCCCCCCCCCCCCCTCCCTCAGCATTAGTCAGCCTATGAGAGCCTGAATGTCCTGATTCATCATCTCCACGACCGGACTCTTCATCAAAGAACTCCGAGGATGACTCTGTGTGCTTCAGCTGGTGAGTTTACGTTTGTTAGCGTAACTGCAGCTTAACACGTACATAGTGGTGAAATAAATTATGATCCATGTAACGCTAACTTTAAGATATTAGTGTGTAAATTTATTTTATCTATGTAGCTAGCTTGTAAAACTGCTCATCCATCCAGTCAGCTGCTTAAACAGTTCACCTAATGTTCACTGGTTGTTAATGTTCTCCTCACAGGAGGTTCTGACCTAGATGTGAGGACAAAAGAAAAGTGAGGTGGGGGCCACAGGACAGTCAGACTTTGTTGTTAAAAATTTGCTGCTTTTTCTACAGTGGAGCTGCATGGTGGAGGTAAGTTAAACTTTAAAGGATGTTGTTGACCAGTTAAACCTTTATCTCTCAGCCTAGATAATGTTTTTTGAGTAATAATAACACAACCATGTTATTGTTCTCATGTCAATTAGGGAGATGATCAGAGCCCTAAATCCCAGAGAAGATTCAGGCAGAGACACAGAGGAGCAGAAGTCTGCATCAACCCTACCTCAGTGAATCCAGTGACCTGCTGGTGGGATGTGAGGGACAATATTTCAGTGCTGTCAAACTAACAACCAGGTATCTGTGTGTGCAACAAGCATCATCTACCATTTCAGAGGGAACATTTTCTACTGCCGGTGACACCATCAGCCAGGAGTGGGCTTGTTTGTGTCCACAGAAAACAGACATGTTGATTTTTCTGAAGACAAACTGTTCAGTGAAAAGGTCCTCGGTGTGTAGCAGTGAACATTAGACACTGACATGTCACTGGTTTGAAACTGGTCTTTTGAACTGGAAATTATTTTTGTTTATATGTAAGAAAACTGCTTGGAATAGAAAAATACTTGTTAAAAAATAAAACTCACAATTTGTACTGTAATGTGTAACGTAATTTTATTCTTGTTAGAATTAATAGTAATTACAAAATTGGTACTGAAAAAAGAACCGTCCAGGAACCGACACCGAAGTGAAGGTACCGACACCGGTACCGATACCGATTTTTTTTTAGAAAGGTACCCAGCCTAGCCTTGTCACTCCTAAGGAGAACCTCAACATCTTCATTTCTGCCACTTCCAGTTCTGTCTCCTGTTTTTTTGTCCAATTCTCTGTCTTGAGACCATACAATATACCTGTTCTCACCACTGTCTTGTAAACTTTTCCTTTGACCTTTGCTGACACCTTTATGTCACAAATCACTCCTGAAACTTTTCTCCATCCACTCCATCCTGCCTGGACTCTCTTTTTACAAGACAGAAATGAACACTATAGTAATATAATAAATAAAAGAGTAAACACTGAGCTACTTCTAATGAACTAATTAACACCAGGACCTTTGTTAAAGTGTATGGTTTATAGAAACAACAAAATTGTTTTTTTTTTTATCTATTGAAATTTGTTACTTGTGCATTTTGAAAACTATATTTTTTGTTAACCAAAAAAGTCCATGCTCAATAATCCAGGTATACAATCCAGTTTTCAAATATGTTTTATTATTCATCTTAGGGTGGCATCTAGAAAAGCCTTCACTAACCACCCATTGTTAAAAGAACCATCTCACAGTACCCGGTAGTTTAGGAAAGTTCAATGTTTGTAAATGTTGGTGGGGTGGGGGGTTATGAATTACTTTAGGAGTCTAAAAATGTAATTCAACATTCTTCTGTATGTAAATGTAGCAAAAAGGGTTAAATGTTATGGGTAGAGGTGAACAGATGAGGTTTATTCATTTTTTTGGTCGATGCTGATCATTAGAAACCAGGACACTGATGATGGATACACAAAACATCTTTTTTTTTAAATGGCCAATATGTATTTTTCGTGAACAAAACAAACAAAATATAACATTTCTTAACTTAAATGAATGTATATTTAACAACCCTTAGAATAATAAAAAATAACATCTATAGCAGCATTCTTGCTTAAAAAATAAAAATATGGACTACAGTAGGTTTGGTTGGAGCTGTGATTTCTGCATCTTTATCTTACTTGATAATATATGCGTGTACAGACATGGCTGACAGACTTTCTTTTTTCTTTTTATCCTCTTTTTGGTTGGATCAAAGTCTTTATTTGAAGGCAAAACCTTTTTTTGTTCCCTCTCATGATTCTAACCATGTACGGAGCAGCAGACTTGGAACGTGTGGCCATCAAAACAAAATTCACAGATTTCACCTTGGCCTCTAAGGCTCTGTTTATCTGTGAACCATCTCTGGAAACACTTCAGATTTTACAGTGTTGATTGTGGGAATTGTCAGACGTTCCCATAGTAACGCTGTGCGTGTTGAATCTGCTGCTGCAGCAGCCACTAGGTGGTGCTGTACTTTTCTATTTCAGCGACACGGACACTTCAATCCCGAGCAGGAGAACAGTTTTATCCAACGTGGTGAATACATGATGGTTTGTTTGGACCAAGCATGAGGTTGGGTAAATGAGTGATCAGCACAAACAGCACTCTTCTATCCACCATTGCTGCTGCTGTTCATCTGCACATGCACACAGGCGTGATTTCACACCGATGCCGGGCGTTGACCTCCACTTTGAGAGCAGGACTGAAAAACAGCCACTGTGGTCATGTACATGAAACTTTTGTTTAAGCAAGATAACTTAATTTTATAATACAGAAACTGTTTAAATCTTAGCAGATGGCCGCTTGTCCTGAGCCTGGTTCTGCTGGAGGTTTATTCCTGTTAAAAGGGAGTTTTTCCTTTCCACTGTCTCCATTGTCCTTGCTCAGGATGGGAGACTGACGAAGTGAAGATTCAACGTGTCTACTGCTTCATTAGATAGAGAACTTTACTAACTGGCTTTTCTATGTATGTGAATGTTTCTGTAAAGTGCCCTGAGACAACTTTGTTGTGATTTGGTGCTATATTAATAAACTGAATTGAATTTAAAAGTAAATGTCATGAATAGATTAAGAGATTTAAATGGGATGAGTCAACTTTGATGAAATGCAGTAATGCAATAATACCACCCATAAGACTTATTAAAAATATATAAACTGCAACTCGGGCATCTGGAAAAGAAAATGTCAGCTGTTGTTTTGTTTGTTTGTTGCTGTGCTGCTGTCAGTTCAGTCTGAGGCGTAATAGGATTATAAGAAATATTCATTTCCATGGTGTGATGAACCTACGGTGGCCCTAAGATGTAAATGAACATTTGAAAAAACAGAATTATATTAAGCCAAACCGGAAGAGGGTTTGTGTGTGTGTGTGTGTGTGTGTGTGTGTGTGTGTGTGTGTGTGTGT